GATGCTGATCCTGACTCCCACGCCTCCCCTTCCTCCTCTGATTTGGCTGCCTGATCCAGCTTCAACGAATGCCTTTCCAGCCTTACCTTTCCTACCCCTCAAGGACTCCGCAATCTGGTCAGGCCACCCCTTACCTGAGCTCCACGAATCCGTTCACCAGCGCCAGGGAGATGAAGTCCTTCCCGCGGTTCTGTCCGTTGTAGAGGAGCAGCCCACTCAGCTCGGAGGTCCGGAATTCCATGGCAATGCGCACGGTGTGGTAGGCCTTCATCATTTTGAACGCCAGGTAGGACTTCCCCCCGAAGCTGGGGATGAAGTATCGGATGGCTGCGATGGACAGAGAATACACGCAGAAAGGTGTGCGTTAGGATCAAGGAGAGTAACAGATTGACAGAGTTGGAAGGGACCTTGCAAGTCATCTAGTCCAACCCCCTGCCCAAGCAGGAGGCCCTACATTTGCCTCAACCTAGGATCGAACTCAGAACCTCCTGATTGTGGGGCAAGAAAGCCAGGAGGCTGCAGGGAAGGAGAGGGGGATTTCACCAGGGAGCCTGCATTGTTCCTCATTCAAGCAAAAGCTTTTAGTCCACAGGGATAAAAGCACCTTTTCTTAAAAAAAAAACAAAAAAACTCTCACTATGTGCTTTACATCTCATCTGTTCCCTTGAGTGTGTTGCAGGACAAAAAAGGCCCTTTCTTTACAAAAACGTAGGTGTAATGCATTTACCCATTCCCCACCACCCACTTCGGCTTCGAATGCGCCATTCATCCGAAAAGCAGGGATGCACTCGGAGCCTTCTCAATAGCATCCCCCCCCCCCCTCCTGCGAGATCACTTGGCTGTATCATGCTGTCTCTTTGTTCTGGGGCTGCCTGGCGCTTAGAGCCATTTGGGGAGGGAGGCAGAAACATCAGCCATAAATAAATCCAAGGAAACATGCAAGGTGAGATACCAGAGCTCAGCAGCAGAAACGGGGTACTTCTCCCCAGTTTGAGAACATAGAATAACAGGGCTGGAAGGGGACCTTGGAGGTCTTCCAGTCCAACCTCCTGCTTAGATACGAGACCCTGTACCATTCTGGACAAATGGCTGTATATTCTCTTCTTAAAAACCTCCAGTGATGGTGTTGTGACCCAGCTCCTCAAACACAACAACCTCTCTGAAATGAACTCAAAAGATTCCTTTATTAGGAATGCCGGCAGTGCGGCTGGCCGGAAGACGAACAGTTGTCTGTTCACATCTATTCATCTCCCTCCGCTGCCTGTTGTGATCTGCCGGAGGCCTGCGGAGCTGGCAGAAGATTCGGACAGTGAGGAGGTTGGGGAGGAACATGGGTCAGTGCTGGAGGCTGGGGAAGGCTCAGACGAGGGCTCTGAGTCGGAGGCAGAGAGGGGGCAAGGGCCATCTGGGAGTTATGTGCTGCCTCCGGAGCCTCCAGAGTCAGACATCTGCGAGGCAGAGGAACAGGAGGAACCTGCTCCCAGTGTGCGCATGCGCAGAGCTGCCAGAAAGCAAGAACAGTTAAGACAGAAGGAACGACTCGGGAGTAAGGCTTGGAGATGATTGGCCCCTCCCATAAGACATAAAGGAGTAGCCAAGGCACGTCAGCCTTTGCAGGAAGCAATTTTGTTCGTTCTGGTTGGTTTAAAATCTGAAGCTCCATTTTGACTCTGTGCTCTGTGTGGCCTTACCAAGCTAATTGGCAATTAGGTCTTTGGCAGCATTTCAAGGGAGAAAAAGGTGGGCGCTTATCAGCCTTATCCCGAAAGACTGTGGCAGACTTCTGTTGGGACTCTTTACACATGATTTGTGACTCATTACGGGCTGTGAATGAACACAATTCACAGCCGTTGAAATAAAAAGAGGGTTTGGGGGACTAAGCGTGTGCTTTTTTACTGTCTCAGGAAGCCTAGGGCAGAACACTGGCTTTTACCCCCCAAAACTAGGGTGGGGCTTTGCTAGCAATGGTGGCTCTTCCTTCCCAAGGACCGGCCCATAGATTTCCACTGTTCTCCTCTCCTCTGCGTTCTGTGCATCCACAGAGCTAGGGTGGGGCTTTGCTAGCAGTGGTGGCTCTTCCGTTCCAAGAACCGGCCCATAGATTTCCACTGCTCTCCTCTCCCTTCTGTGCATATGCACGTTCCGGATACGCTTCAAGGTGCTAGTCGTCACTTATAAAGCCCTACATGGTATTGGACCTGGGTACTTGAGAGACCGCCTCCTGCCGATCACCTCCCAAAGACCTATTAGATCCCACAGGGTTGGCCTCCTCCGAATTCCATCCGCCGGCCAATGCCGATTGTCGACCACCCGGAGGAGGGCCTTCTCTGTGGCTGCTCCGGCCCTCTGGAACGATCTCCCCGGGGAGATCCGGACCCTGACTACCCTTCCGGCCTTCCACAAAGCAGTTAAGACCTGGCTGTTCCGGCAGGCCTGGGGCTGTTGAGTTCCATCCCCACTCGAATTGGTGTGTTTGTTGAGACCTTTTAAACTGGTTTTGTATTGTTGTTTGTCTTGTTTTTTCCCCCCTTTGTATTGTTCCCTTCTCTTCCGGTTTGTTTGCCGCCCTGTGTCCCTTCGGGAAT